TGATGATGCTGCTGCTGCTCGTAGCCGCCGCCGGCTCGAGCTGCGGGAGACAACAAGAGGGGAGGGTGGGGCCGGGCAGGAGGAGGTGATGATGGTGATTGTGTTGATGATGTTGTTGATGATGATGGTGTTGTTGATGTTGTTGATGATGATGTTGTTGTTGTTGATGTAGTTAATGTTGTTGATGATGTAGTTAATGTTGTTGATGTTGTTGATGATGATGTTGTTGTTGATGATGTAGTTAATGTTGTTGATGATGTTGTTGTTGGTGGTGATGATGTTGTTGATGATGTTGTTGATGATGTAGTTAATGTTGTTGATGATGATGTTGTTGATGTTGATGGTGATCACCCACGATGCGTCCCGCGTGTTCACGCCGTTTGAACTGAGCTGCTCACCGAGTCGCGTCGTGCAAAGGGCGCCAAATTGTGGGGGAGGGGATTTTTTTCCCTCTTCCTGTCAACGGGGGTATTATTTATTTATTTGGTAATTTATTTTTTGGTATTTTATTACATTTTTATATTTTACTATTTTATTATTAATATTGTGTTCCCTATCTACGCGACGTTACCGAAATAAACAAAGAATTGCGCTCAACATCTGTCGGGTCACTTGAGTTCATCCCCAAACCCCGCCCCCCTCGCCCCCCGCCCCCCGCCCCTCACCCCTCCTGGTGGTGGTGGGGGTGGTGGTGGTGGTGGGGGTGGTGGGGGGTGGTGGTGGGGGTGGTGGGGGGTGGTGGGTGGTGGTGGGGGGTGGTGGTGGGGGTGGTGGGGGGTGGTGGTGTTGGCGGGTGGTGGGGGTGGTGGTGTTGGCGGGTGGTGGGGGTGGTGGTGGGGGGTGGGGGTAGTGGGGGTGGTGGTGGGGGTGGTGGGGGGGTGGTGGTGGGGGGTGGTGGGGGTGGTGGGGGGTGGTGGGGGTGGTGGGTGGTGGTGGTGGGGGGTGGTGGGGGTGGTGGGGGTGGTGGTGGTGGGGGGTGGTGGGGGGTGGTGGTGGGGGGTGGTGGGGGTGGTGGTGGGGGGGGGGGTGGTGGTGGTGGGGGTGGTGGTGGTGGGGGGTGGTGGTGGGGGTGGTGGGGGTGGTGGTGGTGGGGGGTGGTGGGGGTGGTGGTGGTGGGGGGGTGGTGGGGTGGTGGGGGTGGTGGTGGTGGTGGGGGGTGGTGGTGGTGGTGGGTGGTGGTGGTGGTGGGGAGTGAAAAATATTGAAGGGACGATTTTTGACCCCCACCACGTGATGGGGGGGAGGGGCAGTCACGTGATGGGGGGGAGGGGCAGTCACGTGATGGGGGGAGGGGCAGTCACGTGGCCACTTGTGGGTGGGGGGAGTTTGTTGGTGTGAGGGCGAGTGGAGGGAGTGGATTGAGGTGCGGAGCGAGAGAGACACAGAGAGAAGGTGAGTTGGTGGTGATGGTGGTGGTGATGGTGGTGATGGTGGTGGTGATGGTGGTGGTGATGGTGGTGATGGTGGTGATGATGGTGATGATGATGGTGGTGATGGTGGTGATGATGGTGATGATGATGGTGGTGATGGTGGTGATGATGGTGGTGGTGATGGTGGTGGTGATGGTGGTGATGGTGGTGATGATGGTGATGATGATGGTGATGGTGGTGATGATGGTGGTGGTGATGGTGGTGATGGTGGTGGTGATGGTGGTGGTGATGGTGGTGGTGATGGTGGTGATGGTGGTGATGATGGTGATGATGATGGTGGTGATGGTGGTGATGATGGTGATGATGGTGATGATGATGGTGGTGATGGTGGTGATGGTGGTGATGATGGTGATGATGGTGGTGGTGGTGATGGTGGTGATGGTGGTGATGATGGTGATGATGGTGGTGGTGGTGGTGATGGTGATGATGGTGATGATGGTGGTGGTGGTGATGGTGGTGATGATGGTGGTGATGGTGGTGATGATGGTGATGATGGTGGTGATGGTGGTGATGATGGTGATGATGGTGGTGGTGGTGGTGATGATGGTGATGATGGTGATGATGGTGGTGGTGGTGATGGTGGTGATGATGGTGGTGGTGGTGGTGGTGATGATGGTGATGATGGTGATGATGGTGGTGGTGGTGATGATGGTGATGATGGTGATGATGGTGGTGGTGGTGCTGATGGTGGTGATGATGGTGGTGGTGATGGTGGTGGCGGTGATGGTGGTGGCGGTGATGGTGGTGGTGATGGTGGTGGCGGTGATGGTGGTGATGGTGGTGATGCTGGTGATGGTGGTTGAGGTTGAGGTGGAGGTGGTGGTGGTGATGGTTGTGGTGGTGGTGGTGATGGTGGTGGTGGAGGTGGTGGTGATGGTGGTGGTGGAGGTGGTGGTGATGGTGGTGGTGGTGATGATGGTGGTTATGGTGGTGATGGTGGTGATGGTGGTGGTGGTGGTGATGGTGGTGGTGGTGATGGTGGTTGAGGTGGTGAGGGTTGTAAAGGTGGTGATGGTGGTGATGATGGTGTTGGTGATGGTTGTGGAGGTGGTGATGGTTGTGGAGGTGGTGATGGTGGTGGTGATGGTGGTGGAGATGGTGGTGATGGTGGTGGTGGTGATGGTGGTGGTGATGGTGATGATGGTGGTGGTGGTGATGGTGGTGATGATGGTGATGATGGTGGTGGTGGTGGTGGTGATGATGGTGATGATGGTGATGATGGTGGTGGTGGTGATGATGGTGATGATGGTGATGATGGTGGTGGTGGTGATGATGGTGATGATGGTGATGGTGGTGGTGCTGATGGTGGTGATGATGGTGATGGTGGTGGCGGTGATGGTGGTGGCGGTGATGGTGGTGGCGATGGTGGTGGCGGCGATGGTGGTGGCGGTGATGGTGGTGGTGATGGTGGTGGTGGTGATGGTGGTGGCGGTGATGGTGGTGATGGTGGTGATGCTGGTGATGGTGGTTGAGGTGGAGGTGGTGGTGGTGGTGGTGGTGATGGTGGTGGTGGTGGTGATGGTGGTGGTGGAGGTGGTGGTGATGGTGGTGGTGGTGATGATGGTGGTTATGGTGGTGATGGTGGTGATGGTGGTCGTGGTGGTGATGGTGGTGGTGATGGTGGTTGAGGTGGTGAGGGTTGTAAAGGTGGTGATGGTGGTGATGATGGTGGTGGTGATGGTTGTGGAGGTGGTGATGGTTGTGGAGGTGGTGATGGTGGTGGTGATGGTGGTGGAGATGGTGGTGATGGTGGTGGTGGTGATGGTGATGGTTGTGGAGGTGGTGATGGTTGTAGTGGTGGTGATGGTGGTGGTGATGGTGGTGGTAGTGATGATGGTGGTTATGGTGGTGGTGATGGTGGTGATGGTGGTGGTGATGGTGGTGGTGGTTGAGGTGGTGATGGTTGTAAAGGTGGTTATGGTCGTGGTGATGGTGGTGGTGATGGTCGTGGAGTTGGTGATTGTAATAGTGGAGGTGATGGTGGTGGTGATAGTGGTTGTGGTGGTGATGATGATGGTGGTTCGAGGTGGTGGTGGTCGTGGTGGTGCATTCACTACCTTAACAGTACTCGCTCTGTCTCTCTCTCCCCATCCCTCCTCATCTCGCCCCATCTCTCTCCCCGTGTCTCTCTCCACCGTGTCTCTCTCCACCGTGTCTCTCACTCTCCACCTTGTCTTTCTCCCCGTGTCTCTCCCCGTGTCTCTCCCCCCGTGTCTCTCCCCGTATCTCTCTGTACGTAATGTGCATACACAGCACCACGTACAGTGTGCACTGTGCACACAGCACCACGTACAGTGTGCACTGTGCACACAGCACCACGTACAGTGTGCACACAGCACCACGTACAGTGTGCACTGTGCACACAGCAGCACGTACAGTGTGCACTGTGTACACACAGCAGCACGTACAGTGTGCACTGTGTACACACAGCAGCACGTACAGTGTGCACTGTGTACACACAGCAGCACGTACAGTGTGCACTGTGTACACACAGCAGCACGTACAGTGTGCACTGTACACACAGCGGCACGTACAGTGTGCACTGTGTACACACAGCAGCACGTACAGTGTGCACTGTGTACACACAGCAGCACGTACAGTGTGCACTGTGTACACACAGCAGCACGTACAGTGTGCACTGTGTACACACAGCAGCACGTACAGTGTGCACGGTGCGTGCGGTACAGTTTCAGTGTGCGCGGTAAGTCACTATTGTGCATGCAATATAGCCTCACAGAAGCAGGTGGAGGAGGTGGTGAGCGTGGTGGTGGTGAAGGTGGTGGTGGTGGTGGAGGTGGTGGTGATGGTGGTGATGATGATGGTGGGGGGTGGAGGTGGCGATGGTGGTTGTGGTTGTGGAGGTGGTGATGGTGGTGGTGATGGTGGTGGTGGTTGAGGTGGTGGTGGTTGTGGTGGAGGTGGTGATGGTGGTGATGGTGATGATGGTGGTGGTGATGATGGTGGTGGTGATGGTGGTGATGGTGGTGGGTTTCGTGACTGCAGGGATTCATCTTCTTGGTTCTTTCGGTAAAGTCACGTAGAAGGGAAGTAATAAAATAATAAAAATAAAACATAATAAAACAATTCTCACGACGTTTCGGCCACAACGCAAGCAGCCGTCCTCAGGTGAAAACCAGGTCTGTCGAGGCGACAGCGTCTGAGGACGGCTCCTTGCGTTGTGGCCGAAACGTCGTGAGAATTATTTTATTATGTTTTATTTTTATTATTTTATTATTTCCATTCTACGTGACTTTACCGAAAGAACCAAGAAGATGAATACTTGCAGTCACGAAAGTTTCAAATCTAGAATTAGTGAAGCCCTGTTGATGATCCCCAGCGAACAGCCCATGGGTAGCGCCCAGCCTCATTCTAGATTTAAAGCTTTGGTGACTGCAATGAGTCGTACTCTCTGGTTTTTTCGGTAAAGTCACGTAGGTGAGAAATCTAAATTAATAAAAGTAATATAAAAATATAATTTACTTGATACAGCAAGCGTGCTGTGACGGTTCCACCTGAAGACGGAAGCTTGTGTTGCCTCCGAAACGTCATGATTTTTTAAAATTCGTTGGGGGATGCAGACGCCTGCGATGGATTTTTATTGATAAATTATCGACGATGACGACCCGCAAGGGATGTGATCTCACCACTTGTGAGAGAAAACGTGAGGTAAGGAGTGTCCTCTAACGTCCAGTCCGTGATTTGCAGATGATTTGCAGGTGCAGTGTTGAGTCTATGGTGCAGTGTTGAGTCTATGGTGCAGTGTTGAGTCTATGGTGCAGTGTTGAGTCTATGGTGCAGTGTTGAGTCTATGGTGCAGTGTTGAGTCTATGGGCAGTGTTGAGTCTATGGTGCAGTGTTGAGTCTATGGTGCAGTGTTGAGTCTATGGTGCAGTGTTGAGTCTATGGTGCAGTGTTGAGTCTATGGGCAGTGTTGAGTCTATGGTGCAGTGTTGAGTCTATGGGCATGTTGAGTCTATGGTGCAGTGTTGAGTCTATGGGCATGTTGAGTCTATGGTGCAGTGTTGAGTCTATGGGCATGTTGAGTCTATGGGCAGTGCTGAGTCTATGGTGCAGTGTTGAGTCTATGGTGCAGTGCTGAGTCTATGGTGCAGTGCTGAGTCTATGGTGCAGTGCTGAGTCTATGGTGCAGTGTTGAGTCTATGGGGCAGTGTTGAGTCTATGGTGCAGTGTTGAGTCTATGGGGCAGTGTTGAGTCTATGGGGCAGTGTTGAGTCTATGGGGCAGTGTTGAGTCTATGGGGCAGTGTTGAGTCTATGGGGCAGTGTTGAGTCTATGGGCAGTGTTGAGTCTATGGGGCAGTGTTGAGTCTATGGGCAGTGTTGAGTCTATGGGCAGTGCTGAGTCTATGGTGCAGTGTTGAGTCTATGGACAGTGTTGAGTCTATGGGCAGTGTTGAGTCTATGGTGCAGTGTTGAGTCTATGGTGCAGTGTTGAGTCTATGGTGCAGTGTTGAGTCTATGGGGCAGTGTTGAGTCTATGGGGCAGTGTTGAGTCTATGGGGCAGTGTTGAGTCTATGGGGCAGTGTTGAGTCTATGGGCAGTGTTGAGTCTATGGGGCAGTGTTGAGTCTATGGGCAGTGTTGAGTCTATGGGCAGTGCTGAGTCTATGGTGCAGTGTTGAGTCTATGGACAGTGTTGAGTCTATGGTGCAGTGTTGAGTCTATGGGGCAGTGTTGAGTCTATGGGCAGTGTTGAGTCTATGGTGCAGTGTTGAGTCTATGGGCAGTGCTGAGTCTATGGTGCAGTGCTGAGTCTATGGGTAGTGTTGAGTCTATGGCCAGTGTTGAGTCTATGGTGCAGTGTTGAGTCTATGGGGCAGTGTTGAGTCTATGGGACAGTGTTGAGTCTATGGGCAGTGTTGAGTCTATGGGCAGTGTTGAGTCTATGTGCAGTGTTGAGTCTATGGTGCAGTGTTGAGTCTATGGGGCAGTGTTGAGTCTATGGGGCAGTGTTGAGTCTATTGGGCAGTGTTGAGTCTATGGTGCAGTGTTGAGTCTATGGGCAGTGTTAAGTCTATGGGTAGTGTTGAGTCTATGGGCAGTGTTGAGTCTATGGGCAATGTTGAGTCTATGGTGTAGTGTTGAGTCTATGGGCAGTGTAGAGTCTATGGTGCAGTGTTGAGTCTATGGGTAGTGTTGAGTCTATGGCCAGTGTTGAGTATATGGCAGAGGTGGGACAAAGTCATTGTTATGCAAGTCCAAGTCGAGTCTCAAGTCATCAAATTCATGACTCGAGTCTGACTCGAGTCCAAGTCACATGACTCGAGTCCACACCTCAGAGGTGGGACAAAGTCATTGTTATGCAAGTCCAAGTCGAGTCTCAAGTCATCAAATTCATGACTCGAGTCTGACTCGAGTCCAAGTCACATGACTCGAGTCCACACCTCTGGTATATGGTGCAGTGTTGAGTCTATGGTGCAGTGTTGAGTCTATGGGGCAGTGTTGAGTCTATGGGGCAGTGTTGAGTCTATGGGGCAGTGTTGAGTCTATGGGGCAGTGTTGAGTCTATGGGGCAGTGTTGAGTCTATGGTGCAGTGTTGAGTCTATGGTGCAGTGTTGAGTCTATGGACAGTGTTGAGTCTATGGGGCAGTGTTGAGTCTATGGGGCAGTGTTGAGTCTATGGGCAGTGCTGAGTCTATGGTGCAGTGTTGAGTCTATGGGTAGTGTTGAGTCTATGGCCAGTGTTGAGTATATGGTGCAGTGTTGAGTCTATGGTGCAGTGTTGAGTCTATGGGGCAGTGTTGAGTCTATGGGGCAGTGTTTAGATTTATGGGGCAGTGTTGAGTCTATGGTGCAGTGTTGAGTCTATGGTGCAGTGTTGAGTCTATGGGCAGTGCTGAGTCTATGGTGCAGTGTTGAGTCTATGGGCAGTGCTGAGTCTATGGTGCAGTGTTGAGTATATGGTGCAGTGTTGAGTCTATGGTGCAGTGTTGAGTCTATGGTGCAGTGTTGAGTCTATGGGCAGTGTTGAGTCTATGGTGCAGTGTTGAGTCTATGGACAGTGTTGAGTCTATGGTGCAGTGTTGAGTCTATGGTGCAGTGTTGAGTCTATGGACAGTGTTGAGTCTATGGACAGTGTTGAGTCTATGGACAGTGTTAAGTCTATGGACAGTGTTGAGTCTATGGTGCAGTGTTGAGTCTATGGTGCAGTGTTGAGTCTATGGGCAGTGTTGAGTCTATGGTGCAGTGTTGAGTCTATGGGCAGTGTTGAGTCTATGGTGCAGTGTTGAGTCTATGGTGCAGTGTTGAGTCTATGGGTAGTGTTGAGTCTATGGTGCAGTGTTGAGTCTATGGTGCAGTGTTGAGTCTATGGGCAGTGTTGAGTCTATGGTCAGTGTTGAGTCTATGGTGCAGTGTTGAGTCTATGGTGCAGTGTTGCGTCTATGGTGCAGTGTTGAGTCTATGGTGCAGTGTTGAGTCTATGGGGCAGTGCTGAGTCTATGGTGCAGTGCTGAGTCTGGGCAGTGTGAGTCTATGGTGCAGTGTTGAGTCTATGGTGCGGTGCTGAGTCTATGGGTAGTGTTGTTTTTTCTCACACCAGATAACCCTCAAAACTCCGTTTGCTACAGGACCATCCAGACTTTGTGTGCCCTTTTATTGCTGTGCAAACGTTTGTCAGAAGTGACAGACTGAACTGTTTAACTTTTTAACACGTAGGCTTTGGCGACCAATATCATCCATAATAGAGGTTGTTCTGTTTACGTGACAACCCTTACTAGTTGGCTGTGTCGGGTGGTGGCGGATTTAACATTAATATATTTACGCAATCTAACCCCACAAAACCTGTTATGGATGAATTGTTTAAACCAAAGTTTCAAGTCACTAAAAGATGTCCGTTTTTAATGACACTTGCCGCCCAACTTTTTCTTCCCGTATTCAGGAGCTGTCGAGAGTGACAACAGGAGGCGTGCCATTTCCCATCGCCGGTGTTTAAACTACCCGTCTCTTTCACGCCGGAAAGGAGAAGGCTCGACGTTTCTCGAGTGATCTTCCACAAGAGAGCCCACGGGGCCGACTTGTCCGTTGCAAAAGCATTCGCACGACGACTTCTTCTCCCCAAAATTGCCCCGTATCCTTTCCGCTCGGTCGATGTCGCGCGTCGTAGAGACTCGGGCCTTTTGCAGGGCGTCGGCGGCGAGACGCCCCGCTCCCCCGGTGTCCCGCTCGGACCGGATCCCACCGCCGCCTTCGTCGGCCTCGGAGATGCACGCCGAAGCGGCCAGGCTGCTGTCCTTCTCCGAGGGGTGGCCCGAGTCGTCCCCCGTGCGGCCCGCGGACTTAGCGCGGGCCGGACTCTACCGCGTGGGCCCCGACGACCTGGTGGCCTGTTTCCGCTGCGGCGGGATGATGCATCGCTGGAAGGCGGGAGACGACCCCGTCCGGGAGCACGCCAGGCACTTCCCCGCCTGCGCGATCAAGGTGGGCGACGCCAGAGAGGGCGCCGGTGACGTCCTGACATCGCTCGTTTGGGGCGATGCGGGTCCTTCCTAAAACGCATGCAGGGTGCTTCTGAGAATTTGCAACTAAGAAATGTGCCTCTGGGCTCTGGGTACCAACTGGAGATGATTCCAGGCATGTTTCGACAACGATGGCGAATAAGTGGAGACTCTTTGACTTTTGAATCTTCTTGGTTCTTTCGGTAAAGTCACGTAGAAGGGAAGTAATAAAATAATAAAAATAAAACAATAAAATTATTCTCACGACATTTCGGCCACAACGCAAGCAGCCGTCCTCAGGTGAAGAACAGGTCTGTCGAGAAGACAGAGTCTGAATGAGACTCTGACTTTACCGAAAGAACCAAGAAGATGAATCCCTGCAGTCACGAAAGCTTTAAATCGAAATTTTTGAATCTATTGACATACATTCGTGGTCGTATTTTTTTCAATTAAAAACGATAGTCCCAAATAAGTGTGAACATCTTGTCTAAGCACCCCGTGCTAAACAGTTATTCTGAAGCTGGTGAGCGCCCAACTGAGCTGCGGTGGCATAGCTATTTGTTTCAGATGCCGAGCCTCTCCGTCACGCAAAGCAGCGACGTAGCTCAACGAAGTGGGCTCACCATCGTCGCGTGGACATTTATACTTGTCGATTACCCTCACACGTGACCTGCATTCTACATGTGGAGGGGAGAAACCGGAGGTCCCGGAGAAAAATCCACGCGACCATGGGGGGAGAGAGAGAGAGACACGCAAACTCCAAATAGGCAGCAGCAGATGTCAGGGTCGGGATCGAGCCCATGACCTCCTGCATACCAGGCGAGGTAGTTAACATCTCCTAGCCACCACTGCGCCCTTGTGGATGAGTCTCAATTCTTCAATGCTTTATGCCTATAACCATGTTCAGTGTTAAGACTTTCCTGCAGAAGAGTCGGCTCATTTTGACAGAAAAGCCATGGCAACAAAATCAATGAAACTCTGCCCACTGTTGTAAAGACATTGCAACTGCTGTGCTTTAGAGACGATCACGTGGATTTAGGATTAATCGGGGCAACATATTTGTTCGGTTTAAGCACCGCGTGACTTGTAATACAAATTTCCAAGAATTACCAATGTTGTATCAACTGTTTTTAGATTAGTTGGGCTTCAGGGGAATATCCACGAGTTTTTAATCTCCGTCAAAATTTCAGGTGCGCGGTTCATCTGCAAATCGAACAAACCGCGTGCGTATAACCCAGAGTCTACTGTAATTCAAATCAAGATTGTACTTTAATGTTATTTCCTCTATAATTTCCCCCACCCCCATACTATTTGGCGGGGTATTCATAACTGGATCACCCTGTACTTATACCGTTGATTCCAGATGACATCATAAAAAAAAGCCTCTTATGGATGATATTGATGATATTGGACACGAAAATACGACTGAATGTTGCATTTGTTGTTTTGAAGCGTTTGCGTGTGTGCGCCTAGATCATCTAACGTTGACCTTGGTCAGCCCCGGTCGTCGAACAGACGAGACCGGTCTTGTCTCTTGATGGAGTTTATCACCGGTCTTGAACACAAATAGACTCAAACTTAATTCTATATTTGAAGCTTTCGTGACTGCAAGGATTCATACTCTTAGTTCTTTCAGTAAAGTCACGTAGGTAAAAAATGAAATTAAAATTAATACAAGTAAAATAAAAATGCAGCAAATCTGGCTGTGACGGTCCCACCTTATGACGGAGACTTGTTTGCCTCCGAAACGTCGTGATTTTTTATTTATTTTTTATTTTTATTTTAGATTTTTTTATTCATTTTTATTTCATTTTTTACCTACGTGACTTTACCGAAAGACTGACACTTGCAGCCAGCTGAAATGTTGTTAATCATTCAGGGGTAAAAATAATGTGGTTTTATTACCAATATGCTTATTGTAAATATAGTAGTGTATAGTGGAGTAGTGTATAGTGTATAACAACATTTAGAATCTGAGTACGACGTTTCACCAGTAATTACAACAACGAGCTTCATCAGGCGACAGCCAGATTAAACGTACTCTATAACTATATAGAACTATAATCTGGGTTTTTGGCATAGAGATCCACGGAAAATGGTAACTTGATAAAGATATTTAAGGATGCTCCACGATTTTGAGCCGTCTGCAGCTGCCCTGCCCCCGTCATTAGCGCGGATTGGTTTGGTTTGCCGATATGCCAATTGCAAATTGAGCACAGAGTAACGGTGCAAAAAGTTGCAATTGTTTTGAACGCGATCGGTCGTCGCTCGCGTATTTTATCCATTTTGTCGGCTCTGTGTGACACCGGCGATGATTCTTACTGACGAGATGTTCATTTTATTTCTCGTTTTGAGGCTCAACTACCGGGACAGACGCCGCAGAGTACAACTGCGGAGATTGAGCACGGTAAGGCGACGGATCCCTGCGCACTTTATCAGACCCTCACCTGATACAGGTGAGGGTCTGATACAGGTGAGAGTCTGAACCAGGTGAGGGTCACGACCTCATGTATACGAGGCGAGGTGGTTAACATCTCATAGCCACGGTGATGACGAGGGAGAGGGAGACGCAGGCTCTAAATATACTTCAACAGGCGTCGCATCAGGGTCACGATTGAACCCACAACCTCATGTATACCAGACGAGGTGGTCAGCATCTCGCCACCTTTGCGCCCCATATGTAAGCAGTCTGATGATCATTTTTGAAACCGCTGAAAGTGTGTGTGTCTGTGTGTGTGTGCTTGCGTCTGTGCGTGCGTGTGTGTCTCTGTGTCTCTGTGTGTGTGCGTGTGTGTCTGTGTGTGTGTGCTTGCATCTGTGCGCGCGTGTGTGTCTCTGTGTCTCTGTGTGTGTGTGTCTGTGTGTGTGTGCTTGCGTCTGTGCGTGCGTGTGTGTCTCTGTGTCTCTGTGTGTGTGCATGTGTGTCTGTGTGTGTGTGCTTGCGTCTGTGCGTGCGTGTGTGTCTCTGTGTCTCTGTGTGTGTGCGTGTGTGTCTGTGTGTGTGTGCTTGCGTCTGTGCGTGCGTGTGTGTCTCTGTGTCTCTGTGTGTGTGCGTGTGTGTCTGTGTGTGTGTGCTTGCGTCTGTGCGTGCGTGTGTGTCTCTGTGTGTGTGCGTGCGTTTCTGTGTGTGTGTGCTTCCGTCTGTGCGTGCGTGTGTGTCTCTGTGTGTGTGCGTGTGTGTCTGTGCGCGCACTTTGTCCACAGCATCGCCATCGGTCGAGGAGCTTCTGGACAAGCTGGAAGAGCGGCTGTCCTGCAAAGTGTGCATGGAGCACGAGGTGTCCATCATCTTCACGCCGTGCAGACACGTGGTGACGTGCGGCCACTGCGCCCTCTCCCTGAGCGAGTGTCCCGTGTGCCGCGTGGCCGTGAGAAGGGCGCTCCGGGCCATCATGGCTTAGGCGGACGGCCGTGGGAAGGAAGAGAGAGAAACGACCGCCCGGGATTCCGACCGTTGGGGCCAGTTAGTTGATTAACCCCTCCTCCCTCTCCCGTTGCGAGACATAGGCCGGTCGCTGGCAAGCGGTGAGAGGCACGGGGAGGGCAATTTAACTCGGCCACCGCCCTCCACCCATAGATCAGCTTATTTTTTGGTTTCCGGAATGTGAAAGGGTTCATTGATAACGATCAGAGTGTGGTGATTTGAAGGCGTACGATGTCAGACTTTGAAAGTGAAGAAGTGAAGTTTAAGGCTGTTCTTTAATTTGTACTTTAACCAGGATGGTACGCAAAGTTTATTTGTTAACAATTTATACATTTGTGAGTTATTACATTCACAACTCTGTGGGACACAGTGCAATGGGTGGAAGGGTCAAAGATTGCGGTGATTTTAAGGCGAATATACATTTGTGAGTTATTACATGTACAACTCTGTGGGACACAATGCAATGGGTGGAAGGGTCAAAGATTGCGGTGATTTTAAGGCGAATATACATTTGTGAGTTATTACATGTACAACTCTGTGGGACACAATGCAATGGGTGGAAGGGTCAAAGATTGCGGTGATTTTAAGGCGAATATACATTTGTGAGTTATTACATGTACAACTCTGTGGGACACAATGCAATGGGTGGAAGGGTCAAAGATTGCGGTGATTTTAAGGCGAATATACATTTGTGAGTTATTACATGTACAACTCTGTGGGACACAATGCAATGGGTGGAAGGGTCAAAGATTGCGGTGATTTTAAGGCGAATATACATTTGTGAGTTATTACATGTACAACTCTGTGGGACACAATGCAATGGGTGGAAGGGTCAAAGATTGCGGTGATTTTAAGGCGAATATACATTTGTGAGTTATTACATGTACAACTCTGTGGGACACAATGCAATGGGTGGAAGGGTCAAAGATTGCGGTGATTTTAAGGCGAATATACATTTGTGAGTTATTACATGTACAACTCTGTGGGACACAATGCAATGGGTGGAAGGGTCAAAGATTGCGGTGATTTTAAGGCGAATATACATTTGTGAGTTATTACATGTACAACTCTGTGGGACACAATGCAATGGGTGAAAGGGTCAAAGATTGCGGTGATTTTAAGGCGAATATACATTTGTGAGTTATTACATGTACAACTCTGTGGGACACAATGCAATGGGTGGAAGGGTCAAAGATTGCGGTGATTTTAAGGCGAATATACATTTGTGAGTTATTACATGTACAACTCTGTGGGACACAATGCAATGGGTGGAAGGGTCAAAGATTGCGGTGATTTTAAGGCGAATATACATTTGTGAGTTATTACATGTACAACTCTGTGGGACACAATGCAATGGTGGCATGGGAAAGCGTTAACACGAGTGCGGTGATTTGAAGGCGTTTGATGCCAGACTTGAAGTGAAGAAGTTATGTTAAAGACTGTTCTGTAACCTTTATTTGAATTGGAATGTTACGCAAAGTTTCCGTGTGTAAAACAATTTTACATTTGTGAGTTATTACATTTATCAGTGCCGGTAGCCTTCATAGCTGCTGCTCTCGCTACACGGCGGTGGATGGGTGATTTTTGTGTGGACCGCTTTGTGCTTTTGTTTCTAAAAAGTGGCGGGTTTTTTTCCCTCTCTGTCGCGTGAGAAATAATTTTAGGGGATTCTAGATTTGAAGCTTTCGTGACTCCAAGGATTCATACTCTTATTTTTTTCGGTAAAGTCACTTAGGTAAAAATGAAATTTAAATTAATAAAAATAAAAGAATAAAAATCCCGACGTTTCGGAGGCAACACAAGCTTCTGACTTCAGGTGAAACTGTCAGCAAAATATATATGAGAACATAGTAACATTGTGTGTCTGTGTGTCTCTCTCTGTGTGTCTGTGTTGTGTCTCTCTCTGTGTCTGTGTTGTGTGTCTATCTGCTTGTGTGTCTGTGTGATTTTGTCTCTCAAATTTAGCAATCTTTGGAAGAACGTAATCAACCAGGTGGGGTGTTGATTGTTTTGCTGGCTGACTCTCTGTGTTGTATTGCAACACGTTCCTTCGGAGTAGGCAGGTAGGAACTTGGTTGGACAGCGCATTCGTGCACAACAGACAGACAAATAATCCCTGGTGGGCAAGTGTGCAACCTGTTGTTCCTACCTGTGTACAAGATCACGTGACTTGAGGTAGCCAGGCAGACAGCCCCCTTCACTATTGGCCCCTCCCCCTTAAGCACCTCCCCTGACCACCCCCCATATCCTTAGGCCCCTCCTCTGATCCCCCCCACAGGCCCCTCTCCTGACTCCCTCCTCCCTTAGGCCCCTCCCCTCTCCGTACCCGGCAGTAGGTCTCCACCAATCAAAGAGCTGTGTGTATTATATATTTATTTATGCACGACAGACAGACAGATAGACAGCTAAATAATCCCTGGTGGGCAGTGTGGAAGATTGTTCCTCCCTGTATATATTTCCAAGTTTACAATGTTCTCATTCATTTGTACCTGATGATGGTTGCTTGTGTTGCAATCGAAACGTCGTATTCTATTATTATTTCATTTCTTTACCAAAAGAATCAAAGAGCCATTCCGAATTGTCTGGGAATCCAAACCAAGCAAGTTTATTATCACAGTGACCACACGAGACATTGAACAAACGCTGCATGTGTAGTGGGTTCAAGGAGAGTGGAGACGGCGTGTGAAGGCAACACGTAACGGCAATAGTAACGGTCCCTAACACAAAGGGGTAACGGCCCCTTCACCCGCTACCTGGGGAGGTACGACCCCTGGACTAGCATGGGCTATCACTGGCGCCACGGGCTCTCTCTCTCTCGCCTCCGGCTAACGGCCACCTAGGGGAGGCTACACTGACCCGACCCAGCCAAGGTGCGGGTCTCGACCACTGGCCCTCTCCCTTACAAGGACGTCGCGATCTGGGGGTTCCCAGGGTCTCACCACTGGCCCACTCGGTCCCGGCCCTTAGAAGGGCAGCGGGTCCCGGGGGAATTGATAGACAAGTGGAAATCAAGCAACCTAACGAGCTATTTTAATTAATGTTATTAAATAATACAACAAAATTAATGACAAGTAATTTAGATTAAACATGTATGAGAACATTGTAACGTCAACCGTATCTTCAAGCAACGTGTGTTACTAATTCCTCACTCATTAGCCCCATTAGTCAATGGCGACTTCACGCTCATAATAATTCCATCAAACCCGCATCTTTAACTAACACAATTCACCTGAATAGAATTAAGGAAGGCCTATTTTCACCAACCACTAAATATATTAATCTTACATGATTCTAACCCGCCAATCACAAACCAATGAACCAACAACTCTAATGATCTCCTGACGATATCATCAGGCCCCGGAGCTAAAAGCTATTGAGTTTTGAGTGTAACCTGGTCGATTAGGATAATGATTAAACTGACGAGGCTAAGAGAATCGCAGCGAAGGAAGAGAGATCACGCAATGGCTGCGCGGAAGACTCGGCACGCCATCGACCTTGATGGACGACTCTCTGGGATGGAGGGGGGGCTGTCTCTCCGTTCCCCGGCATGCACGTGGCTTGCTTGTCCAGAACCAGGCAGCCATTGAAAGGGAACGGCGGAGGCAGCGAATTGAGATGGGAGAACTCGACTTAAATTTTCTGACTGGAGGAATTCACATTCTTTGGGTCCTTCAAATCTAGAATCTTTCGGTAAAAGTCACGTAGATCGGTAAGAAAGAAGACAAAAAACGACGACGTTTCGATCGCAACACAAGCGATCATCATCAGGCGTTGCGATCAAAACGTCGTAGTTTTTCTAACCTATCTACGTGACTTTACCAAAAGACCCAAAGAATATGGGAGAGCTCTTCACGGCCGAATCACGTGACCGAGAAGCGTTACATTTGAAGGCTTTCACGATAGTTCTCGTCACCCTTCTGGTGTGCAGATTTCAGGTTGCGAGTTCTATACCGGCTGTTGGAAGTCCCCGCTGTGGAGCAGAGGTCACAAACGGGTTTTGATTCCTTACCCGTACCCGGCCGCACCAGGGTCGCAAATGGATACCCGTACCCGGCCGGGTACGGGTACCCGTTCCCTACCCGAAATGAGTGACAAACGGTTACTCACCAGTGACTCACGGCCTACCCGTACCCGCACCAGGGTCGCAAACGGGTACCCGTAGCCAGCCGGGTACGGGTAGCCGGGTATCGGGTAGGGTAGGGTATCGGGTAGGGTATCGGGTAGGGTACGGGTATCGGGTACCCAGTTGCGACCTCTGCTGTGGAGCATCATAAACTCATTGGCAGCGCTGGCTGTGGAAGGCTGAGTTTCTGACTGTGCTGCAGCTCAAGTCAACTGTGTGTGTCACGTTTGAATAAAATCTTGAGATTTGAAATAAGGGGCCGTCCATAAATGATGTCACGCACCTAGGGGTGTAGGGGGGGTGTCAGACATTTGTGAGGATGTGTGACGAGGGGGGGGGGGGGTGAGAAATTTGACGTCGCGTCAAAATGTGCAACATTAATTAAATATAGACAACACGTTCTACTTAATTAAATATATTTTTTAATAAATGTGTTCTCCTACAGCATCAGAGTGCAGCGCCGCATTAAATACGCACTACAATGACAATAGTTGAAAGCGATTTGAAGCGTGTTTTATTTTTGTGATGTCATATTTGAAGGGAGGTCTGACTTTTTGTGACGCCGTGTGACGAGGGGGGGGGGGTAAAAAAATCGTCCAAAACCGCGTGACGTCATTTATGGACGGCCCCTAATGTAGGGCGATTGCTGGACACATTATACTTTGCTTTTGAACGTTATAGTTTGCTGAAAAAAACAAATGTATTGGCATATTTTTCGATGCGACCACCAGCCGGGCACAGCAGTCAACTTTCAGAAAACTGAAGTGTGTTCGCCTTTTGGCGTCCTCTGGTCTAGCACCGTTTGAGACGAGGCTCAAAAGAAAGCCGTCTCTGGTGTGGACCAATCAGTTTCAAGGACAATGCACACTCCGTCAGAGCACGTGTTTTTTTGTTTGCATGTTCACAAGTGTGTGTGTGGGGAGCGGTGGTGTAGCGGTTAGCGCGCTGCGCTATGAACCTGGCGACCCAGGTTCGATTCCCGCTCACGGCTAACACCAGTGACGATTATCTGAACCGGTCCTGGGCCTCACCTAGGTCGACTCAGCCTTAAATGAGTACCTGGTGCGGTGTGTAAACATCGCCACTGGGGAGACAAAGGCGGTCGGGCGTGGTGCTGGCCACCCACCCCCTCGTGTACCGTTCCGGCCTTCATAGGTGCTCGCTAACAGCACTTGCCCCTACAGTCTGTTTAGGCTATACGGGGGATCTTTGTCTTTGTGTGGTAAATGCAGACATGATTCCTTGCAAAGGTTTCAGTTTGGTGTTTTAACGTCTTAAACACACGAGGGTTTTATTGTGGCCAGAAAGGGGGAAACCCCTTCGATTATCAAAGCGGAAGTTTCCACGCGGTGGGGTTTCAATCCACCAATTATAAGCGAGGGGGCTGCGGGGTGACGCGTCAGCGCCGGCAGCCAATCAGGGAGCGTCTCGCGCCTGCTGTGGGCGGGGCTTCAGCGCGCGAGGAGGTCGCCTTGGTGGGAAGAGGCGCTGGGACATCGCCCAGCAACAACAACAACTACCACAACAACAACTACCACAACAACAACTACAACAGCAACTACTACCACCACTACTACTACCTTGTGAGTATTACTAGCACTCTTATCACGACTACTACTACCACTCTTATTACCACCACAACTCTTATTACCACCACAACCACCCTGTGAGTATAACAACAACAACACTAGTTGTTGTAGTAAGATGTAGGCATTTCTCGCCGCTATGCAGCAACACCCTCAACACCCTCACGTGTTGTGTTGCAGCAAACACGCCGCGTGGACAATGGCGGACGTGGGTGGGTGTGAGAGTGTGGGTGGGTGTAAGTGTGAGTGTGTGTGAGTGTGAGAGTGTGTGGGTGGGTGTGAGTGTGTGAGAGTGTGTGGGTGGGTGTGAGTGTGTGAGAGTGTGGGTGGGTGTGAGTGTGTGGGTGGGTGTAAGTGTGAGTGTGTGTGGGTGTGAGAGTGTGTGGGTGGGTGTGAGTGTGTGAGAGTGTGTGGGTGGGTGTGAGAGTGTGAGAGTGTGGGTAGGTGTGAGGGTGTGAGAGTGTGTGAGTGTGAGAGTGTGTGAGAGTGTGGGTGGGTGTGAGAGTGTGTGTGGGTGAGAGTGTGTGAGAGTGTGGGTGGGTGTGAGAGTGTGTGAGTGTGAGAGTGTGTGGGTGGGTGTGAGTGTGTGAGAGTGTGGGTGGGTGTGAGGGTGTGAGAGTGTGTGAGTGTGTGAGAGTGTGGGTGGGTGTGAGGGTGTGAGTGTGTGTGAGAGTGTGTGGGTGGGTGTGAGTGTGTGAGAGTGTGGGTGGGTGTGAGAGTGTGTGAGTGTGAGAGTGTGTGGGTGGGTGTGAGTGTGTGAGAGTGTGGGTGGGTGTGAGGGTGTGAGAGTGTGAGAGTGTGTGGGTGGGTGTGAGTGTGTGAGAGTGTGGGTGGGTGTGAGGGTGTGAGAGTGTGTGAGTGTGAGAGTGTGTGGGTGGGTGTGAGTGTGTGAGAGTGTGGGTGGGTGTGAGGGTGTGAGA